GCAACTGGCCCTCTCCAGGTTTTTCCTCAAGCGAGTTAAAGACTGCGGAAGGTGTCAGGGCAATGGCAGCACCGTCGGTAGGTACATCTGCTAAAAGCAGATCAGACCCACATTAAAAGTCATTCAAGATCCTTACAGTGGTATCAGAGTGAAAGGCTTTAGCTGAAGTTGCTTGCAGCTGTGAATAGTAGCCCATTTGGATAGCGGCTTTGAAGCTTAGTTTCCATGCAAGAAGTGAGAAAAGAAGGCTGAAGGAATGGGCTGGAAACTGACAAAAGTAACATCAATGGAGTGATTTCTCACTTCAGCATCTATCTATTTCACTAAATTTTTCTCAAAGTTGTGAGTTCTAGTTTCAGCCTTTTGTCTCCTAAAGAGTCTCCCTGATGTAAAGTCAATGAGTCTGAGGACAGCAGTTTTGCATGGAAAATACAGGTGTTGCCTGAAAAAAAAGAACAAACACCACAATACCTTACCTCACAGTTCAAGGTAAAAGTGTTAAAATGAAAAATGCTATGGCACTTGCTTGTTTCTTAGGGCACTGGTAAGGGAAGAATTAAAAAGGGAAAACTGGTGCACGCTCATTCTGTCTTTAAATGAGAAATCCTTTCAGCGTTACTGCTAGAGTAGCCACTGTCAGTCAAAAAAGAAATTCAATTATAGATTTTACTTCTATTAAATCTCATTGTTTCTAAAATGTGTATGCTACTCTGGCAACAATAATTATAAAATATTAGCATCTGCAGGAAAGACATACCCTTGTGTAACACAAATCTGAGAAGCACATTGTTCACCTGCTAGGTTGCACTGCAGCTCTGACAGAAGTGTTCTGCTTTGTGTACTCTGTATAACTGCTTGGGTGTAGGCTCCATTCAAGATAACAAAATGTTTGTTCTCCCGCCTCAGGAAATAAAAGCACTGAAAATACAATGTAGATGAGAAGCACAAGCTGGGAAACTTAAAACTAAGCTTGGACTTTTGCATCTCTTGAAATAAATGATTAAACTGCTTAATGGGTTTTAATAAAAGTCAGATGTGGGACAGCCTAGAGAAAAATCAAATTGCATATATTAGGGAGTTAGGTCAAAAAAAAATCCATTGGATGGAAACATCATTTTAGGCCATGACTTATAGATAATGTTTTAATTATAAGCAAACTTTGTTTTTTCAAAGTTTATTCATAAAAAATCTCATCCTTGTAATGAAATAAGGATACAGGTCAAGTCACATGCAAATTTTATCCATGTTATCCAACTATTTTTCTTCTGTGTGGAAAGTGTCCAAAATGTAAAACTAACTGTGAAATATCTTTCCATGTATTCAGATAACTGTGTATGTTAATACCACAAAGCTAAGTATGATTCATTCATCATTTCACATACTCCCTCTGCTGGAAATTAATATGAAGGTTCAGTGGATCAGAAGAAAGATCATTAAGAGTGCATGATACATTAAAAAAAACCCTCTTGCTTCTTGTATTGAAAAAAATCACACTGCTTTACAGGTTTATGTCAGTAAAACAACTTGTATTCCTTGTTGCAAGGCTATTTGTACCAAAATCACTAAGACATGGAAGGAGAAGCTAACGCAAATCAACTAGTTAAGTATTCCATCTATACTAACTTTATATGCATTCTATTGTATCATTTAAGATCTGCTAATATCAAAGATTATATAAAAATACAAAAGCAAGTGAGTAACAGAGCTGCTAAAGTTTATCTGATACCAATAGCCATGTGGCGCTCTAATACTCCACAGGCTATGCTGATTCTGACAGGATTACTTGCTCTCAGAAGGGAGGGGGATAAAATAAAAAACTCAGCTGTAGTACTACCAAAAAGTACCCCACACCATGAGCATTCTTCCTGGTCAAAGACTAAAACCACTTGCATTAACACTGACAGCAGAATATTAACTCTGATTACATGTTGCTAAAGTTCAAGCTTTATTAGTGACTGAAAGGACATAAATCTGTTTTTCTTTGAGAGGAAACAGCAGAGTAAATCACATAGATAGATGGTTCCAAATGCTGCTGGAAGGTTGCTTGCATAGATTTTACAAAAAGCAGTGAACTACTTCTACCCAGCAACACACAATGAATTCTGCTTTGGTGGGACTATACTGGTAATGGAGACACAGTTCTGTATATGTATGTCCTGCTTCTTCTAGTGTGGATAAAAAGACTAAGGAGGGAGGTACCAGATGCACCAAATCCTTTCTTCTACAAACCCTGTAAACCAGTTATGTTCAATACCTTCTACTGATTAATGGTGACAGTTTCCTTTGCTCTGGGTAAACAAACTCAGCTGGAAACAACTCCATAACCAGTGAATAGGAAAAATATTGCTCCAGACGAGCATGAATACTTTTTAAAGTACTGTAGGATTCTTTATTATGCAAAACAGATAATTTTAGATCATCACAGAGTAGCTGGGAACAAGTTTAATATGCTCTTATTTCATATAAAACCACAGATTGTATTTTCAGGTTTGCCTATGTACAAATATTATGGTAAAAGGCCATTAAAAAGAAGTATAAGAATCAAGTATAGCATTGTTCAGATGCAAATAAGTGTCACAAATGCAAACAAATGATAAATAGATTCTTGGTGTATGTTTCCTTCCAACCAAAATACTGTAATAAAGCAACAAGAAAATCACCCTACCACAAGTAACACACAATATGAGGAAATAGATACTGTCACAAAAGGTATAACATTTCAGTTTGGGCATATTCAATAGTACTTCCTGGTTTTTGATAAAATTAAGGCGTGTTACAGATTAGAGAGTTTGGAACCAAAAGTAAAGAACTTTGCTTCACCCTTAAGTAAAGATCGATAATGAGCTCAAACAGAGTAAAGTTACCTATTCAGCAATGGTCTGAAGGTTTTCAGAATGTACTATTGAAACAGTACATACAATTTCCAACCAGCAAACACTGTGCATGTCCACTTGGGCTATTGCTACAGACATGGCCAACAAGCCGCTGTTTTGTTAAACTAAAAGTTAATACTTGCAAACACCATTTTTTCTTTTTTTCTTTCTGTCAGTGCCTGACTGTGTTAGGTCAAATGTGGGGGGGTTGCCACTACAGTGATATTGCTCTCTGGATACACTCACTTGAATGCTTTTTGGTGTTGTTTGTTTGGTTGGTTTGTTTGTTTGTTTTTAAATCATCAACAATTACATAGCAATTAATTCAGTCAGAAGTCAGAAGTCAGTTGAAGTCTGTATCACATCATCATTGACAGAAGTTCCTTTGGCCCCATCCATGACCTGATGATCTCCTTGCAATTTGCCAGCAGAAAAACAAAGTTCTCCTTTCTGTAACATTTTCTAAACAAAGACTAACCCTAATAATAAAGGCTATTACTTTATCAGAGTACTCTAAAAGAAGTAAGTTTATTACATCTTGATATATCTTATATGGAAAAGCTATCATTATTACAATTACATGTTAGGACATGGGCCTCTGCACGACATATCCACTCCAAAAAAGAACTGTTTTATCTATCTTATCTTTAACTAACCCCTCATTCTCATCTTCTAAATGATATGATATTAGTTTTGTAGACTAAGGTCACATTTCTCAAACTTTTTTGTGATCATCTTAAAAAATCAATATGGCAATATGATTGCAAAACAACAAACCACATTCTCATCTTCTGGGATGATGAGATGATCTCCTCTCACCTGGGAAAAGTATACAATATGCCTTTTAATAACTGCATAATGTGGAAATGGTTAATATTACTATGTCTGATTCTACAATCGTTATTACTTGAAAGTAGTCCCATTAACACTGGTGAGTGCTGAAATTACTTCCGTAGCTATCCACCAAATGAAGAATCAGGACCTACAAATTAAAATCAAGTCACCTGTACTGAAAAATATTGTTGCTCTTATGGAAGATAATCCTAGAATTTATGTTACTGGTATATATTTATATTTTACTCTTCTTTTTTTTTTTAAACACATTATTCATCAAAATACTTTTACAGTTTTTTTAAAGCTACCTGTTCCTAAAAAGCAACATAGAATCATACCTACAGCTCATATCAACAGGTCATAAAAGGCAGTCAGAAGCATTCATATGGGTTATGCTGTCTTTAATCATTACTCAAATATGAATGTTAATGTTTAGTAGTCAGGTTATCACAAACCAAATTCATATGAAGGAACAAACGTGCAAGAGGTATGTTTAAATCATTACCATGACCAAAGTGCATTTTCTTTCAAAAATAAACTGGAGATGCATTTTAAAATTCTTTTATGAAGACAGCAAGAAGGATGAATCTATTTTTTTAAATTGATAATTTAAATGAATTAAACAGGAATTACTTCTCTATTTCCAAATACAAAAGTATAGATTTCCCAGATGATTTATAGGAGAGAATTCTACATTTTTTCTTGTTTTTAAAGGGTAGGAATCTAGAACATAAACAAATGTTCTAACATAAAGTGCAGAAATTCTGAACAAGTTTAAGTGCCAATACCTACCACCAAACAGTACTCACTCATATTAAAGAACTCTTAAATTGAAACTTTGTGCAGCTTTAATAAAATTCTTAGAAGTTGAACACACCTGCAGTATATATGGAAACCTATAAAATAATATATATCTTCACAGATGGATATCTAAACACCAGTATCTGCTGGCATTACTATCTTATTTATCCAAATTAATAAGTGATGTTTGAAGGGGGAGGGGCGGGAGAGAAACCCAAAACTCTTCCTATCTTGAGATGACACAGCATTCTCTCAAACATAATACTTGTATAGTTCAGCAAAAATACATCCAAATCATAACACCTGAATATTGAAATTCCGCCCCCCCAATAAAGTTATTGTTGTTCTCTTTCCTTTTTTTCAGTTATATCCGTAACCTTTTAAAATTATGCAGACTTTTAAAACAAAAGCAGACTTTCAGTAAAGTCAATGAAACTTGGGCTTTCTGTTTACCGCAATGGGCCATCTCACACTAATACAAGAGCTGGGAGAGGGGTGGGAGAGGAAGCTATCCAGACCGATTTCTTCCCACTGGACAACATTAAGCATGAGGAAAAACCCGTGCAGCATTTGTGAAATGGCTTTAATGAAACTTAGCATTCAGCAGGGAAAAGCGATGATTAAATGAGCATTAAACTTGAACTCTAACTCTCCAGATTGTGTGCATGGTCTCCACAAGCCATTGTGAATATAACATTACAAGTCCTTGACACAAGAATTCCTAGAAAGAAAAAGAAATTTAATTAGTTTCATGTTCAGCGAATACAGAAACACATTTTGATGTTTCCATGTGCAAAATTTTAAGTTTTGATTCTGAAAGCACTTTGAACAGGTTTCCCAGTCTCTTCAACAGTCAATCCAGATCATTTGAATGATTAGATTTTATTGTACAAAAATGGAAAATTATTAAGCAGCAAAAAAAAAAAAAAAAGAGTTAATTTGTACTCAAAAGCTACACTGAGAAAGATTTAGCTTAAACCAGCTAAAGATTTTAAGCAAATGAAGTATGTATACCTGGCTCACATACTTCATTTTTAGTCCTTACTTAAACTCATTGTTCCCTAGGAATGTGCCAAAGCAGATCATGCCACATAAGCCAGTCAGGCGGAAGAAACCTCAACCAAACAAAAAACCCCCACAAAACCCAAAAAGCAAACAAGAAAGGAGTTGAATTCATGATCTAGTTTGTAGAAGATTAGTCTTGATCTGGTATTTAGCCAGAAGTTTACTAATTAGAAAGAAATTCTATCACCCTGAAAAGGGCATGATACAAATAGGAAAAGCACCATAATTGTTAGTATCAGTGTCATGACTACATGGATTGACCCCTCTCTTCTTTATACAGAATCAAAAATAGAGGGAAGTGTTATGGTAATTAAAAGTAAATCAAACCATTCCAAATGATACAATGTTTTTTTTTTTCAACAAATTTAAGAGCTACACTATACTCAGACTAAGGAGGTTCCATCAGAGGAATGAAGATTCCCTGTACTTGCTATCAAGGACTGGGAATAGCTACAAAATCACTGCCTTGCACAGCTGTGTTTTCCTACAGAGGGCACCAGAACCAGCTCACTGGCCCAGGGAAACTTGTCTCATATTCTTAGGACCTGTGTACTTAGAGGAGCCTTTGATAACAAAGATTAATCAGATGTGAAAGGTAATAATCCTAGTTAACAAAATTAATCTTGGAAGTACATAACCATCTCAAAAGCAGAAACTATTTCCTGCAAGTCATGAAATGGGTCTTTTTCCCCCTCAACTGGCTTTTTTTGGGTTTGTGTTATTTGTTTTTTTTAATGTGTGCTGCCATCAATCTACCAAAACAGTGTGATGCAACAAGCATGCGGCTACCAAATATGAAGCCAAGCTGAGACTGAAACTGACAGGGGAGCAGCTGCATATTGTGGAGGCTTCATTTCACTGATTGTTAAAAGCAAAGCTGGGCTTGTTCCTCCTCAGGGTTACAAGTATTCAAAGACTTTTAGAATGCATTTATGTACCTTGTAAAAAAATGCACATATAGAAAGAATAAAAATTATTCTGAAAACTACTAGAAGAAGAAAGGCTGGACTGTTAAAAGCTTATATATAGGAAAGATGAAAATGTTTACATCTACACCTGCAGAAAATGGTGGCAAGTCGAGATATTCTGTAGCATTATCTCTATTACTGTTTTAAGAATTTATGACTATAGCATCCCAGTGCAAGTAGTTGCTATTAACCATACAGTTTTGATACAGTTCAATAAAACAAAATGAGTATCATCAAAAGATTGTGGTCCTGAACCTTCTTTGTAACTTTTCTTGGCACAGTGTAATTCCATGGAATTCAGTCAATATTTCAACAAGAAATATCAGAGTTCATCCTTGTAGTTTACTACCCCCCACCCCCACCCCCCCAC